TATTATTATTAATTATTAATTAATTATAATCATTAAATTATTATGTATAATAATTTCTATTTGTAATAGTTAATATATAATTGTTAATTATTAATAAATACTGTTGCTGTTATTATTGTTATTATTGTTTCCCAACTTTATAGATGGTGACGTGTGGGCACCAGTATATTGGCTTGAGATGTAGTCTCTAGATTAGAGATCCTATAGAATAATGTGAGCAGACCTGGGATAAAACTGGGCTTTACTTGCGCTTATGACATACTGACCATAATGTGCCAATTGACCAGCCTTGTATTCTTAGTGTTAGCAGGGAATGTTGCATGTGGCTTGGGAATAAATAAAGCTGAGGCTGATGACTAAATCTACTCTTTCTTTATTTTACCAAGGAAAGTTATGTGAAAGCCTCAATTGACCAAAGCCATGACAAAGAGGTAGTGTTCAGTATACATGGGTCCACTTGTTGACAACTACAGCATGTGCAGGATGGTGATTTCAAATGTAAGAGGAGAAGAGCGTAAAAGCATGACTTAGCAAATGAAACAAAACAAAGAAAAATAGATTGTGTTTGTGAAACTAAGAGAAACGGGAAGGAAAGTGGTCTCTACTTATGGAATGGGGCTTATAAATACATGCAGGGAAATAAAGATTTAAGTTTAATTATGAATGAATGAATTAAAATGTATGTCATAATATATGGTTTATTTATTCCTTATTTTACTGGGCTTATAGGCTAGGTTTCTATCAGTGCCACCTAGCTGTTCAGATTGTGTATGAAGTAGGAATTCATAGGCTGGTAGGAGCTGCATGATATGCTCTAGTGTATGGTAATAATGGAAGAACTAGGAATGAGTTTTAGGGAAAATTATGTGTCCTCTGAATAAATATGATCCAGGGAAAATAACTATTGTTTTAAGTAATAGTTTAAGTTCTACCTATTGTTTGATATGAATGGGTGAATAAGATGAGAGAGTACAGAAAAGGTTTGAGCCATCCAGAGACCAAAAATGAATAAGAATGATAATGTTTTGGAGAGCATCTCCTTAGAAAAAGAGCTGTTTGTTTTCACTATGTGATTTAAGCATAAGCCTATTCATATGAAGACATGGGAGAGTAATAAAACAATAAATTTGATTGATTTGATTATTCATGATGAAAAACTGAGAGAATCAGTAATGGATACAAGGATGGTCGTGAATATGGAACAGACCATTAAGTGGTAGTATCAAGAGTGAATCTTGGAGGAAAAAGATTATAGAAGAAAATAAAAGAAACAAAAGAAATTAACATGAAAGTAGTTATGTCCAAATCAGATTAAGAAGATTCTGCTGCTGGGAAGCCTATTCTGGATACTCCAGATGAATGTGAGCCTCAGGAATTGGTAACCAATCAAGCAACTGAGGCTGATTCTGCTGTCATTCACCTGGAACAGCTGCGTCCACAATTAGGTGAAGAGGATTCCAATCCTGGGCCACGCCCAGTCTCCAGACATGCCAGTCACTTTGGAGAATGGAGCATTCAGCATTCCTCCACACCAGGCACAAGCACTGACAACCTTAATTGGTTCCCACCCTATATAAGGGGAGCCGCTAGTGAGCGAACCTGTTGGAAACAACTGGTCCAACTTGGACCCTGCATGCTTGTGCCTCAGAATTGTTACATCCTGGAATACTGCTACTCTCACCTTGGAATGGCTGACAATCTTCTTGTGAATGCCTTGGATTTTGGACCATGACCTGATGCTGCTATTACTTGCTGTTTGGACCTGGCCTTTTTTGCAGGCAGGCTTGCATATGTTTGCGCACTATCTGCATGCAACTGCACACACACCCATGCTGACTGCCTCTGCCTGTAAATTTCCAATTTAACCAAGAAAATTACTGAAACCTAATCTCTGTGTGTGATCTTCACCTGCAACAGGACAAAACTAGCATAAGTGCACAAAGGGAATGTATGAGTCCTGTATTAAAAGTATTATAACATAGACTGATCTCTCAGCAGAATGGATGGAAGTGGATGTAAGAAAGATTGGGTGAAAGGTGCTTGAACAAAGTGAAAATAATTACATTACAAGGTGCCACAAAAATTTATGCAATTATGCTAATGGGAAAAGGGGTGCTTGGCAGAATGATAAGAGGATAAAGATAAGAAAATGCTGTAAGAGAATGCTTGCTGCAGTAAATTAAAATTATGTAACATGCATGGAAAGAAAAAAAATGGTTGCATAAATGTAGCTAGAGAGTGATGAACGGTTAAGTTTACAAGGGATGGAGATTTTGATGGAAATAAAACATAGTTTTGGAAGTAGGTGAAAAGGCTAAACAAGAAACCCCCAGCAGAGAGGACAGAAATGGAATTAATAATAAAAGTGGTGAAATGACTTAGGAGAAAATGATTACAGAGTGTCTGTGAAGACTGCATCTGTCCCTGATAATTGGAGGAATGCTGATATTGTTTCCTTATAGAAAGGGAAAGATAACAAGAATAAATACAAAAACTGCAGGAGAGTTAGTCTTTTAAATGTGCCTGAGAAAATGCTTGGCAGAATTATGACTGAAAGTTTAAAAGAAGTGATAATGTGTAACATATGAGAACTACAGTGCAACTAAGCAGGGGGTGTAGTTCAGATTTTTGCTCTTCAGCGGGTAACTGAGAAATGTATAAATGTGAGAAAGCAAGTTTATTGCTTTAGAGCAGGGGTCCCCAAACTCTTCAGCTTATTGACCCCTTCATGAAGTTTCAAATTGTTCATTGACCCCCAACCATTTATTATATGAAACAGTTTAATAAATACTACTTTAACTAATAATACTATGAATAATAACAACAACAACAACAGATAGTTCCATCAACCTTGGGGGTCAATGTTGACCACTTTGGGGAACTTGCACAAATAGGGAGGTTGACTGCTGAAGTTATATATAGAAGTAAAGCATTCATGAGAATAAAATGCTTGTTATATGGTTCAACATTGACAAGCAAATAAGAAAAGGATATGTAGTATCTTGATTGTTCAATATTTATGAATGTATAACAAAAGCTTGTGATGACATTAGATGTAAGTTGGTTGTGAGCATGAATTTATGTGTGTCTTTGTATGCAAATACTGCTGGCTGAGAACTCAAATGATTTGCTGCAAGTGTTAAATAAGATAGCATGATACAACAAAGCATATGGGTTTGAAAATTAATGTATCAGAGATTACAATAGCTGTATGTGACAGGGAATATTGAGTGAACTACAAAATATTATTCAATGGCACGCATTAAGAGCAAGTAGGTAAATTTGTGTACCTTGATAGAATGTTTACAAAAGATGGGAAAATGGATGGAGAAAGTTTAAGATTTGCAGATACTGATAATGACCATATAAGATGAAACACTGAAAAATTAAGTCAGAAAAAAATATATGAAGAAGAGCGAATGGGTAAGTTATTGAGATCCTCACAAGATGTTTGATGATTGGAAGCCAATGTATGAATTAGTGGATGGATGTAATGTAATGCATTAATTGGAAGAATAGAAAAGTATAGAAAAGTACAGTGAAAGGTGTTGGTGTAGATTTACTGTAGATTCATTTTGCTTACCTTTCCTTTTCTGCATTTTGTGTAATGCTTACCATGAAAGGGAACAGCTTGATGGGAATGTATACATAAATTGCACTCAGCTTACCAGATGCAAAGAAGATTCAAATACCATTAAATTTTATAAAATCAAGAAACAGAAGTGATATAGAATCAAATTATTAAATTAATTTCCAAGTGGTGCTACAACTGAAATTGAAGAGGAAAAAGCATTAAAAAGATTTAAGATATAGAACTAAATAGTTATTACTATCCAAACCTAATAAAGAACAAACTAATATTGCTCCTGAGAAGTTTCATAGCTATTTCTGCCAGAATCCTAGTCTCTCTAAATGGAGAAAACCTGTTATAAGGTCTGAAAAGAATTATTGTAAATTATTTGTAAGTTCATATGAAAGGAATTTTAATCTCTCCTCTGATAATTCAGGGTGAACATAGAATCTATCCTATGAGTAGAAGTGTATCATACTGTGTTTATGAAAAAATAAACAACACAATTTGAAGAGCTCTAACACTGTGACCCTAAACGTGGATACCACAGTTATCAGACCATTCATTTGGGATACAGATTCCCTAAGCTTCTCACTGAACTTTCAGCATGGAATCCAGAAAATGCATAAATATTTAATTTCCATATAAAAGAATAGGGTTTTGAATTGGTGAATGGTACCTGAAGCAAACATTTGTTAGTTCTCTAACTCCAAATGTGACAAACAGGTCTGTAATAAAAGGTAATTTGCTTTCCTAACAAAGGATTTCCTAACAAGGACAAATAGGAGGGAAGTGTGCACAGGAACTACATTAAACATTAATAGAAAAACAAGAGTCTTATGACCCTTTAAAGATGTATTTATTATACTGTGGGTGGACACATGCTGTACTCCAGACACAAAGCTGAAAAGGTGTTTCTGAGCAGTCTTGGGTGTGCACACAACTCAGTCTCCGGAAAATACCTACTTGCATCAAGGAGGCACTGACAGGTACAACAATATTTTGGAGCAGGTATTGGTCCTTTAATTCAAATATGTAAGAGATCACACAACTACTGTGCAAGCCCAAGATAAGACACAGCTTCTTTAAAACGGTGTTAACAGGTGTGGCTTGCACACACACAGCCACCTTTTCAGCTTTGGGTCCAAAGCGTAACACATCCCTAAATATATGATTTGTAGACTACTGTGACTTTACTTGTGTTACTCTGTTGTAACTTCTGCAGAAATATTTGTAGGGAGTTACTAACATCCCTCATTAGGCCACTCTGTGAATGACCAAATGAATTTTATGGAAAACTCTTTCTGGGAGCAAAGACCCTACAACAACACACATTGTCCCTGAGTTTGCATTTGTAGCTTGTAAAACTTGTGCTTTGCTAATGACAAATTAATTAGGGATTGATTATATTATATTGGTTATAGTGTATAAAGCATTAGCATGTTGTATTATTCTTATCTTGTATTATTGTATTTTACTTTTTAATCATTTTCTTAATTTATTTTTATTCTAACTTAATGCTTCTGATATACTTGGTGGATCTGTGATCTATAATAAACTTATTTATTCATTCTTCGCAACAACTGTGCTAAGTGTGCTAAATATATGTAATTGTGGAAACTTATGCCGTAGTAAATTGATTAGTTTTTTTGTTTTATTAGTCTTTTTGTTTCTGATGCCTCAAACTAATATGATTTTACTCTGGAAATTAAAAGACAAAAAAAATTAAAAACTCGATAGAATTCTATATATCCTACGTCTTTCCCAAAATTAAGAACAATCTTTAAAAATTCCCAGTAAAAGGAAATGAACTAGTCTTCAACTTGAATTGAATAATCACTGAGTTTGCAGAAATGGCTAAACTGATTTGTTTGATTAAGGAGGGAACTACAATGACTTTTATGAAAGACTGGAAACCCTTTACAGACTTTTACTGAAAATGGATAAAAATGAAGTGCTGATTTCAGAATTCATTGATTAAAAAGGTTTGTTTATGGGAAGAAGGGAACTATGATATGCAATATGGGAGGGTGGAGATGGTAACTGCTATGTTTGTAACTGCCGCAAAGAAGATTGGAAGTCACTTCTTTAAATATCTTTTTTTTTCTTTTTTGTTACTCTTCACTTTGTCTTTTACCCTTTTATAATCTTTCTATTTCTTTTTCTATGTATCTGTAGTTTTTTAAATCTTGTAAAATCTTTTAATAAAAATTATTTTTAAAATGTGTAATTGCATTTATTATTATTATCACTATCATTATTACTATCATCAAAATTATACAAATACAAGTCCATTTTAAAAATTGTAATTATTTAGAATACACACACCATTTATCCAAATTAAAACTCCAATTGAAATTTCATTTGAATCATATTTCACAGTATTCTTACAAGAAAGATATTCTGATTTCAAAAACAGGTAGTTCTCACTTAATAACCAGAATTGGGACCAGAATTTAGGTACTAAGTGATGTGGTCATTAAGCAAGACATCACATGACTGCTTTGGTTAGCAACAGCAGTCCCTACTCCCTTGCCGTCATTAAGCAAATTTTACCAGTCATTAGCTGAACACCCACCCCAATCCAAGCCATTCCACTCCCCTCCCCACTTCCGAAGTGGCTAAAGCTGCCCTCTCTTCACAAACTTTCCCGAAGGGGGCGCAGCTTTAGTCACGTGTAAGAAATGTTTGCCAGAGAAGCTGGGTACAAAAAGGAGAGACCAAAGACAGTGAGGCACTGGGCACAAAAGGTGAAAGGTTGGTGCAGGGAACTGGGAGAGAAGGCAGCTGGGCGAATGAATGCTTACTGGGGAACAAAGGAATGATTCCTGGCTTGCTTGCTGGGGTGGACTGGGGAGCCATGTGGGGCTGGGGAGAGAAGGTAACTGGGCAAATGAATGCTTGCTGGCACTTGCTGAGGCTTCCCAGGGTGTGGCAAGCAGCTGCAGAGCTGCAAGGTTCTGGGGCTGCTTGCCACCCTGCAAGGCAGGGTGCAGGACAGCCAAAAGGGCAGAGATGGGGGGGGGATAGGGATGGGGTGGGGGAGTTGAAGTGCCCCTGGGGTTGTAAGTGTGGGCAGACTGCCAAGCACCTGAATTTTTATCACGTGACCACGGGGGCACTGCCACAGTCGTTATTTCAGGCACAGGTCATAAGTCCATTTTTTCAGTGCCATCGTAATGTCTAACGGTCGCTGAACAAATGATCATTAAATGAGGACTATCTGTATCATGGAACTGTAATTCCATGCATAAACTGCATGTATTATAGCACCACTTGAACCTACTCAAAGTTGCTTTGTTTTTTATTATAAGTGCTTCAAATTGTGTAACACCCGACACATACATAAATGGCTTTATATTTTTCAAAGTGCCAAATAAAACACTCTAATACTCTATGCTTACACTAATCAAATTTTTACCATGAACATACCTTGCAGATCCATGTTAAAAGGTGAGCTCCAATCACTCCAAAGACCTAATCCATGACGCTTCTTGCACCGAACCTGAACTACATATGAAGATTCAAGTAATTCATTATTTACGGTCAGTGATGTTTCCATGGTAATTTCAGCCACCTATTAAATTATTGTTGAAAAAAATAATCATAATAATACCCTTCTTTCACTGAATTAACTTGAAAAAATAAAATCAGAGAGGAAGTCGTAAAATGAAGCTAATGAAAAAGAGGGTTTTTTCTTGGTTTTAACACCTGATGTTATTTATTTATTTATTTATTTATTTATTTATTTATTTATTTATTTAATTTGTCCCCGGCCATCTCCCCACAATGGGGGACTCTGGGAGGCTTACAACATACTAAAAAACATGAATACAG